GGGAGCCAGGCCGCGCCGGGCTGCGAGCGACGGAGGGTCGGTGTCGGGGGCTGGGCTCTGAAGTTTCCCAGAACTGCTCGGAGGAGGAGACCCGGGGAGAGGGTGGCGGCTGGGACCGGGAGGCGCAGCCCTGTGACATGAGGGCCGCGCCGGGTCCGTNTACATCACTTAAATATGGGAAATCATGTCAGTAAGAATGGTTGTAGTAGTTCAGGAAGTGTATGGTGGTCCTGATGACTGGGTTTCCTTTTGGGACCCCTGGTTGTGGTTAGTGGGTGTTACAACACAGGTTAGAGATAGAAATGGTCATGTAGAGGGTGGGGGAGGGACTATGGTTTGGCAAGTGGCCAAGGTCTTCTAGGGATGAGTGGACATGAGATGGATGGGAGGCTGAAGAGTAATTCACACAAGATGAGACTGGGGCTGGTTCATATTCATTGCTCTAAACACTCACTAGGAATTTGTTGTCACCCTTGGTGTAGCCTGGGGTCTTGAAGTTAGTCTGACAGAGTAGCTTAGTAGCATAAGCGGTCATCTGGGAGACTCAGTGGACATGGGGTAGAGGGCCTCTTGAATTAGGCCTTGAGTGAGGTTGAGGTGGACAGAGGAAGGCTGTGATGGGTGAAGGGACATCAAGTGTAGCACCAGTGGAGGAGGGCTGTGGATATCTGAGATCTGATGTGGTCCTCTGTAGGTGAGGTTGAAATAAGGAACAGTCAGGGAGGGAGGCCTTCATGGCAGGACTCAAGGTTGCCTCTATGAGTGTGGACCATCAGAGTGTGAGTTGTAATTGATCCTTTTTGAAATTGCCAAGCATTCTCTCAACCACATATGCCGAGTAATGAGTAGAGAGGCCAGGAGATGACTATGTTGCAGGGCAGGAGGAGGCCTGGGCTGCGTAAGTTCAGTCGTGAGAGAGATGTGGTAGGAAGAATGATGTGTATTTGCAGAGGGAGTATGAATTCATGGCCGCAGGGCCGTGGCTTTGACATAAGAGTGAATGAAGGGTGATCCCATGTCTGGTGGTGACTGGAGGAAACAATGTGTTGAACCCTAGGGTACTTGCCTGAAAAGAGGGCGTTTCTGGTGCTACATGCCTGGTCCAGTTGGCACATGTCATTTATGTGCCAACCTGCTTATTTTTGTTGAGAGCTGATCCACTGTTCAGTAGGATCTATATGAGATAGCAGACATCAGTAACAACTGGGCTTGAAAATCTCCACCTGTGTGGGGAAGAGAGAAGGAAAAGAAGGGGATAGATTAAGGAGGTGCTGAAATTAGAATACTGGGAAAGATATCATGGAACAAATTGCCTTGGTCATGGCATGTTTGTGTTAACTTTGAAGTTGTTCTAGGAAAGTTGTTGTGTGAGAGGTATGATTCAAAGAACTAAGTGCAGAGAGTAGTGTAAACTGATGGCCTCAGTGCTCTGTGATAGTGTTTCTAAGGAATAATGGTGATGCCATGTTTTTTATGTCTTGGAGGGACAGTGTGTGGGACTACAGGGGAATTTCCTGGCAAGACAAATGCCTAATTCACATCCTCTCTATGGCCGAGTTCTCTCCCTACTCTATGTTTGTGACACCCATTGTGTTAACAAGAGGCAGTATGGCCTACATGCCATGCCCAGAGCAAAGGTACCATCTATCTGCCCATCTGCCTATTATTGTGAGAAGACAAGGTATCAATAGGAATTTAGGAGAGAATGACTTAAATGGGACGGAGGCCTGGTATCTTCTCTCACGTGGGCAATAGAGAGAGGAAATGGATGTAGAAGATAGGGGGGTACCACATGGTTAAAAATCTAGGAGAGAACCTGATCATTAACTGTACTGTCCTCATTATGACAGGAAATGAACCTTGAGGATGTGGCCATCGTCTTCTCCCAGGAGGAGTGGGGGCTCCTTGATGAGGCTCAGAGACTTCTGTACTGCGATGTGATGCTGGAAATATGTGCACTTGTAGCATCTGTAGGTAAGACCTTCACGTTTCTCCTTTTATTCTGAGGTGATGTCCTGCCTTCCCTTTTTTATCCAGAAGTAGCTTTGTCCCACAACCAGACCATGGGTCTACTAATTGCCCCCACTTTCTTGTCATATATGTTGTGGCTGCCAGTGATGAGCTGTGTGCAGTGCCCTGAGCCATGACACCCTGAGCAACCCTAACACTTATTGCCTCAAAAAGTACAGGAAGTATCTGGGAGTCACGAGTCTTGCAGACAGTGCAGTGCATCCCACCTCTTTACCCTCTGCCTTGTAGAGTGACTATGTTCAGATCCATGCCTTCCAGTTCTGCCCCTTCCTCTAGCTAATGGTTGTTTTTGACTTCCTTTGCCAGGTCATGGTCATTACTTATACGAACCGTGGAGTGTACTTGTTACCTTCAGTTGTTTGTAATGTTGTTTTCCCTGATTGCTAATGCTTGCTGAATTGCTCTTATCCAGTGTTGGCTGCTCACCTCTGTTGTCTTTCATTAAGACTCGGATCATTCAGGTTCTGAGTAATTGTGCAATAGAAGGTGCAAGGAGAACCCTGATTTTTTCACAGGGTGAACATGATAAAATGGTCCCAGAGGAGGCCTGGCCCTGGTGAGTTGCAGCTGGGGAAGAGGATGACATAAGGGCTGTGTTCAGATCATGCCAGGATGCTACCTTGTGTCCATAGTGGTTTGGTGCCAGTGCCACTGGCCATACCTAATTTTTACCTTTTCTTTCCTATCCTGGACACTTTGTTGACTTATCATTTTATCTATGACTGCCTGGCTTCTGGCTATCTTCCCCTCTGTGGCCTCCGTGCATCACCTGTTATTCTGCACTGCTCCCTCTGCAGTATTCTCCAACATTGACCTGCGCTTTTGTTATGAGGTGTGCATACATCCTTAAGTAGTTCGCGGACACCAACTACTCATTTATTGAATTTTACTGGTGGAAATCATAACCAACCTTCTGCACAGCTTGCCCATGTCACCAGCAGACAAGCCTTGATGAACACTGTTAGCAGAAGAATGAGCTGGAGATCCTACTTCTCTCCTATGTGATGCATGCCATCTTTGTGTCCTTTTACTGGTGAGGTCTCCCCTATTTTGTAATCTTCAGAGACCTAGTATTGCACAGCAGCCCCTTATTCAACCTGCATCCAGGTCTCTCATTTTCAAACACTCCCATGAAAGCAACGTATTATGTCTGACAAACCTTTGTAACGGGACTTGCCTCTTCCACCAATGTCAACATCCATTTCCTCAGCATTTCTCTGCTTTCAGGTTGTTGGGATAAATCGGAAGATGAGGAGGCCCTTTGTGAGCAGATCGTATCTGTAGAAGGAGAGTCACAGGTCAGGGTGTCTATGACAGCTCCAGCAACCCAGAAGACTCATTCCTGTGAGCAGTGTGTCTTAGTCTTGAAAGCTATTTTCCACCTGACAGAGTTCCAAGCAACAAACCTTGAGCAGAATGCATTCTTCAATGATGCATGTGTGAGAGACTTCGGTTTCAGTGCAAACCTTCACCAGCAACAGAGTGATGCCATTGCAGAGGAGCCCTGGATAGGAGATATGGACAGGGCTTCATTTGTGACCAGCAGCAGCTTTTATGTATCAGGGGCACCTTTCACCAATAGGGACATTCAGGAGGACTTTCCAGCCATATCAGGCCTTCTCCAGCACCAGGCCACTCTTAACACTAAGGACCCACACAGTGACAGTGAGAGTGGTCAGATTGTTAACAGTGGAAAAAGTCATCATGAGTGGGGTGAATATGAAAGAGCTGCCTTCCACAACCAGAAACTTCTTCAACATCAGAGTGTCTATTCTGGAGAAGGCCTTTTTGAGTGTAGCAAATGTGGGAAAGCCTCTATACAAATGTTTAACCTCATTCTACCTAGGAGAGTTCACACAGGAGAAAAACAGTCCTATGAGTGCAGTATTTGTGGGAAATCCTTTAACCGTGAGTTTTTCCTCATTCGACATCAGAGTGTTCACACTGGAGAAAAGCCCTATCAGTGCAGTGTTTGTGGGAAATGCTTCAGCTGCAAATATATTCTCATTCAACATCAAAGCATTCACAATGAAGAAAAGCCTTATGAATGCAGTTTCTGTAAGAAATGCTTTAGCTACAAATTTAATCTCATGAGACACCAGAAAATTCATACTGGTGAAAATCCTTATGCATGTACTGATTGCGGAAAGTCTTTCAGCCACAGCTCTGCCCTCATTCGACACAAAAGAGTTCACACTGGAGAAAAGCCATATGAGTGTAGTGATTGTGGAAAGTCCTTCAGCAACAGCTCTGCCCTCATTCAGCACCAGAGAGTTCACACTGGAGAAAAGCCGTATCATTGTAGTGTTTGTGGAAAGTCCTTCAGACAAAGCTCTGCCCTCATTTATCACCAGAAAGTTCATGCTGGAGAAAAGCCGTATGAGTGTGGTGATTGTGGGAAATGCTTTAGGTACAAATACATACTCATTCAACATCAGAGAGTTCACACTGGAGAAAAGCGGTTTGAATGCAGTGTTTGTGGGAAACGCTTTATCTATAACTTCAACCTCATTAAACACCAGAGAATTCATACTGGTGAAAAGCCGTATGTGTGTAGTGATTGTGGGAAGTCCTTTAGAAGAAGCTCTTCCCTCATTCAGCACAAAAGTGTTCACAGTGAAGAAAGACCTTATGAGTGTAATGAATGTGGGAAATCTTTTACCCGTGCATCTAACCTCCTTAGACACTGGAGAGTTCACACGGGAGAAAGGCCCTATGAGTGCAGTGATTGTGGGAAGTCCTTCAGCCACAGCTCTGCCCTCATTCAACACAAAAGAGTTCACACTGGAGAAAGACCTTATGAGTGTAATGAATGCGGAAAATCTTTTACTCGCACGTCAAACCTCCTTAGACACTGGAGAGTTCACACTGGAGAAAGGCCCTATGAGTGTAGTTACTGTGAGAAGTCCTTCAGCCACAGCTCTGCCCTCATTCAACACAAAAGAGTTCACACTGGAGAAAGACCTTATGAGTGTAATGAATGCGGAAAATCTTTTACTCGCACGTCAAACCTCCTTAGACACTGGAGAGTTCACACTGGAGAAAGGCCCTATGAGTGTAGTTACTGTGAGAAGTCCTTCAGCCACAGCTCTGCCCTCATTCAACACAAAAGAGTTCACACTGGAGAAAGACCTTATGAGTGTAATGAATGCGGAAAATCTTTTACTCGCACGTCAAACCTCCTTAGACACTGGAGAGTTCACACTGGAGAAAGGCCCTATGAGTGTAGTTACTGTGAGAAGTCCTTCAGCCACAGCTCTGCCCTCATTCAACACAAAAGAGTTCACACTGGAGAAAGACCTTATGAGTGTAATGAATGCGGAAAATCTTTTACTCGCACGTCAAACCTCCTTAGACACTGGAGAGTTCACACTGGAGAAAGGCCCTATGAGTGTAGTTACTGTGAGAAGTCCTTCAGCCACAGCTCTGCCCTCATTCAACACAAAAGAGTTCACACTGGAGAAAGACCTTATGAGTGTAATGAATGCGGAAAATCTTTTACTCGCACGTCAAACCTCCTTAGACACTGGAGAGTTCACACTGGAGAAAGGCCCTATGAGTGTAGTTACTGTGAGAAGTCCTTCAGCCACAGCTCTGCCCTCATTCAACACAAAAGAGTTCACACTGGAGAAAGACCTTATGAGTGTAATGAATGCGGAAAATCTTTTACTCGCACATCTAACCTCCTTAGACACCGGAGACTTCACACTGGGGAAAACCCTTAAATGTGTAGGAAATGCTTTATTTCCTCACTCAGTATAACAACACTGGATGAGACTCTTTGAGACCCATTTACCTGAATTTAAATCTGTATTAGTCGAACATACAATGTGCTGGAATCCTCATGAGCTTGAGGTACAAAGGAGGTATTAAGGAGGTGCATTGCACTTTCTAACCTGTCCAGATTGATATCACTGCTAGTTTTTGTGGCTGAGACCATTTCACCTCTACCACCTGGCTCCACCTGCACAGTGTGCGTCAATCACAACCCCTGCATGCTCAGGGAAGCTGACCCCTGTGTTCTCACTTTTGCTTGAGGAAATTATGAATACACAGAACTCTTGGTACGATCTTCATTCCTTTCTTTCTACTAGGTAATGGACCTGACCCAGTTTGGTCCAGAGGACCCATCCTCAGCTAAGAAGGACTACCTTTTTTATGGACATTGTTCTCACATTATGTTGTGGGGAATTTTTCCAGGTACTCATTCACCAACCTGGGAACCGTTGTACACTGCTCTGGATTATGGATATTTTCGTGAAGGTCTTTGTGCTTTTGTATCTTAATTTTGCTGGTTGTATTCACTGCGTGAGATCATTTGAAATAAGAATGGTGATCTGTCAGCTTATAGAGGTGAACAGATTTTGTGGGGATCCCAAACTTTCTGTGTTTCAGAAGGGATATAATGATGGCAGAAAAATGCTCTTTATTCAATGTTGGCTTATTTTGCATTGCTGCCCAAGGCCTTGAAAGAAAGACTACATGACTTTTTGTTCCTAATATACATTCTAGTTCCATGATTATTGGGGAGGTGAGAGGTAACTCTGAAGAGGAGGCGTTTTTCACGCTTCTGTGAACAATATGAATTTTATTCCCTTTTTTATAGTATACATTACATAATTCTACCAATCCTGAGGTACTGCAAAGGAGCCATGTGCCATGGTGTATGAAATTTCATAGGCTGGTGTCATTTAAGACTCTGAGGGTTAGGTAGGACCACAGTTGGGACAGAAGCACTGTATTAATAGTGCGTGGAAGACACTGCAATGAATTAGATGAATGGTGCCTCTTCTGAAAGTTCTTCCACAAATGTTCCAGGGCCTGTGGCTTGTGTGATCTGTGGTTACAGACATTCTCATGACCGTTAGAGCTGTTTCTAACAGCTTTGTGGCTTTCCCTAGGCTCTCTTGAGGTTTTCACCTCAAGGCCATTGCTCTACAGACAAGCAAACAAAGCTAGAAAGGATGGTCCTATAGTCATTCCCAGGATGTGTCTTTTGTGACCCAGTCAGCATTCCTGTAGTTCTTACTGTTTGCCAATATTTGCTGCCATTGAGGCAAGGCTGCCCCTTCCAGAACATGAGAAGAGAGATGGTAGAGTACATATAGGCTTGCCAACCTGATTTTCTTAGTAAACAGGGATTATTTAGGTCTTAATTGGAACTGGTTTTTAAAGCTTTATTCATTTGTATATGTATAATTGATGTGCAACAAAGTGCACTTATCTAAAGTGTACTATTTGATGAGCTATGATATACAGATAAGCTATGAAACCACACATGAAATGGACTTATCTGTCACTCATATACAGGGTAGGAATGTAGGTTTAAAGTAGTAAGTACATGGGCCATATAGTTTATTCTTGTATTATTATTTATTAATTATTTTATTATTTTCCATATGAAGAACTGTAAACCTACTTTTGGTCCACCCTGTATTTACCTCCTGCCCTTTTATAATCTCTATTGATTTATGTTTATTTACAGTAGATTAGTTCATATTTTCTGTAATCTTATAGGCATCATAAGGTGTATAGTCTTGAAAAAACTGGTTTCCTTCATGCTGCAGTTATTTTAAGATTCAACAATAATGCTGATGTGAATATTTAATTCTTTTTACTGCTTTGTAGTAATCTGTACTATAAATAACCACTTTGTTTATCCATTGATCTGCCTATGGTTAGGATTATTTCCAGGTTTGGGGTATTAAAAATAAAGCTGCTATGAATATGTGCATTCAGTTCTTTATATTCATGGATGTTGTATTTCTCAAATTGTTACAGTGTAGATATATGTTTAAATTTTAAGAAATGTGGAACTATGATCTAAAATGGTCGTTCCCTTTGCCTTCCCACCAACCCACAGTATGTGAAATTTCCAGTTCTGCAACTTTGCGAACCCTGCATATGGTTACTTTTTAAAAATATTATCCTTGGATATCAGTGTAGTGGTGACTTGTTTTTGTTTAATTCCACTTCCCTATGAATTCATGATGGTGGTCATTTAATGCATTTATTTATGCATTCTTTATCTCTTGGTAAAATGTCTTATGCCTATTTTCTTTTTATGAGTTTATTATTTTAATTAATGGGATGATAGTGCCACATCAGACATGTGTTGGGATTTCACTCATTCCTCAATGACCCAAATGACTTCTTTGTCCTATGGAACAGTTGTTTTTTAATACTGGAATCAATTTTTCCCCTCAAATTCTTGTTCTATGTACAATTTACTTATTTAATTATTTATTTACTAAAGAAACACAGGTGTTTTTTTTTTAATCCTCACCTGAGAATATTTTTCCCATTGATTTTCAGAGAGAGAGGGAAATATGGATGTGAGAGAGACACTTCAATTGGTTGCCTCTCGCACTCACTTCAACCAGGGCTGGGGATCGAGCCTACAACTGAGGTACGTGCCCTTGGCCAGACTTGAACCTGGGACCCTTCAGTCCACAGGCTGACTAAACACTGAGCCAAACCGACTAGGTCTCCTATGTACTATATAGTTTTTATTTTATTAAAATGTCTTTATTGATTTCAGAAAGAGGAAGGGAGAGAGAGAAACATCAATGATGGGAGAGTCATTGATCAGCTGCCTCCTGCATGTCCCCCACTGGGGATTGAGCCCACAACCCAGGCGTTTGCCCTGACTAAGAATCGAACTGCGATCTCCTGGATCATAGGTCAATGCTCAACCCTTGAGCCACACCTGGCCAGGCTCCTATGTACAGGCCTGTGTTGTGGATTTTGATTCAGGCAGCCCAGAGATCCCAGTAAAGGTGTTACCTGATAGCCCCCTCAATCAGAGGAAGAGGGCTTTCCCCACCTCAATACTTGTCATGCTCTTAGGAATGAATTCAAACTAGTGACCCCAGAAAATAATTATGTTGTGTTAAAGTGAATTTATTTTAAAAATTAAAGCATGCACATTTATTAAAGAAGCAATGCAAGCAAGTCCATACATCTGGGTTATGAAGCGCAGATGAGCTCTCAGCTAATGTGAACAGGGAGTGTAGTGGGAGGTTTCTGCCTTATATACCCTCGTGTCTATAGGGTTTTTTTTCTCTGCTAGATATCCTGGTACAGATTCTGGTCTCCCCTTTTCTCTATTATGAGAAGCACCTGGTGATTAAATCCTGAGCCTGCTGGCTTTTCTGTTTAAACAGTGGGATGAGATAAGACTACTCTTGCCTACTCCTCCCTGCTGTTTTTTTTTCTTTTAATACTCACTTGAGGATATTTTTTCCATTGCTTTTCTGAGAGAGTGGAAGGGAGGACGAGAGAAAAAAACATCAGTGCGAGAGAGACACATCAATTGGTTGCCTCCTGCACCCACCCCTGCCGCAGCTGGGGATCGAGCCTGCAACCAAGGTATGTGCCCTTGGCCTGAATTGAACCTGGGACCCTTCGGTCTGCACGCCAATGCCCCAGCCACTGAACCAAACCAGCCTGGGCCCTCCCTGTTTCAACAGCTCCAATGATTTACTCTTAAGTCTCTAGTTAGTGAGGACTTGAAAGGATTTCTTCTCCTCTCCCCCTTTCCTTCACTCTGCATTCTTTTGTGAGGGGAGGTTTTAACCCTTTGTTCTTGAGATGTAGTCCTGCAACAAGCAGCCTGCAAAGTTTTGGGGCTTTGTTTAATTTTCTGCCTCAGTTTCCCTGTTCCACTTGTCCCACAATTTTCCTAGCTTTTCATTGTCCTCTAACCGTTTGATCCCCATTTGAGGAGTGTACCAACAGCAACCGATGGATGTTTTCTTTCTCAGGTTGATGTTTCTCTCTCTCCCTCTCTAAGCATGTCCTAGGGTGAGGGTTAAAGAAAGAAAAGAAAAAATGATTCAAAATTGCAGCACAGAATAGTAGGAAAAAATTGTGAATATATGACTGAAGGCCTTGCATAGAAAATAAGGAAAAGAACTGGCAACATATTTGAGCAGAATCTTCATTAAAGAACGTACGGTTATTAGGTTTCCAAGAGTTTTGACATTATTCATCATGAAATTGTAAGCTAAAGCTTCAGTGAGAAAGCACCACAAGTCCATTAGATTGGAGCAGGTTAAAAGGGGTCATAGCCCTCCCTGGGCAGCTCAGCTGATTAGAGCCCTGCCACAACACACCACGGTCGTGGGTTCGACACCCAGCCAGGGCATGTACAAGAACCAACCAGTGAGTGCATAGATGGGGGGAAAGCAAATTGATGTCTCTTTTTTTCTTTTCACTCTAAAATCAATAAATATAAATTTTTAAAAAGTGAATTACAATAACAAGATTAGGCTCAGTCTAACTCAGGCTTCAGTGTCTCCTGATAAAAATTACCTGAGGTCTTAAGTCTTTTCCCCCCTCCACTGGTGTTTTCTTAGCTATTTATACTACTCTCTTTGAATAACTACATAATACTTATTAATAGCACTCTTTAAATTGCATTTCACAAATTTCTTCTGACATCAGTTTCTCATGCACAAGAGTCCCAGCCATCACCAGAGAAATAATAATCGCTTCCTTGCAAGACGAAATGAGTTGATGGTGTTTGGATGCTCCCTTTGCACATGTGCTCTGCCTGAGAACACTGTAGTCTCTACCTCATACCCAAACAATTTGATAAGATGCCCTTTGAGAAATATGTAAGATTCCTAAAAGAATTGAAAATATCTTAGAATATTGAGTAGGAACTACTAAATGGTAAACAACATTGTATGGATTGCACACCTTCACTGAGGATAGAGGCAAGAGAGATGTTATCTGTGGGAACCAGAGGCGAAGATAACTCCTTTTCTTCCTACTTCATGGCAGCTTAAATCTCTCCTTAGCTTCCAGGTCATGGCCCAGACTGAATGTACAGATTTACAAAACCCACTATTGCTTCGGACTCCATGCATTTTAATTGGCAGAAAATAGTTAATACATTCCAGCTAAGAAGTGATGCATTTTGTGTCTGAATGAGAATATATGTCCACTTGGGTTTGTATCCTTTGGGAATAATTGAAATAATGCTTTCCAACTCAGGGATCATTCTGAGATTCATGGAGTCTTAAATAATCTCCAAACAAGTGGTCAGTTGCAGAAAACCCTCCCCGAAGAATGCAAACAATCTCCGAAACCTGAAGTTGTCCTTTCCGAGCACCGCACCCACCTGGTGGAACTCTAAGGACCTGTGTGTGGATGAGGAAGCTACATTACCAAGTGGTGGCGGGGCTGAACCAAAAAAAGCCTCAGATAGGGGCATTTCTGTGCCTGTGAATCATGTTAGGGAGGAACTTTCCAGGTCATCATCCTTGCAGTCTTTTTGACCTCTGGTTTGTTCACAGAGTCAGAGGCTGCAGAGCACCTGTGGTTCACAGAAGAGCCCTCCCCGCTGTGCAGAGGCAGGTCCAAGGCTGGGCAAGCCAGAAATGGCCCCTTTTGGCATCTCTATGCTTCGCAGGCTCAACTGAGTCCACTGTATCCCAGGGCATCAGCCCAGCAGAGTCACAAGGCTGAGGTAAGTGCTGGTCCCCAGGGCTCTCACTGCCTCATCCCCTCACCCCTAAACACTACAGCTTCTGGTGCAAGTGCTTTACACCGCCTAGAGCCAAGACACCAGCATTTAGGACAAGGAGACAGTGGTGCCTGACACACAGGGTGACATGGGTGGGAGAAGGTGACAGGCTAAGGAGCCACCTTGTGAATCTGTGCAGGGTACACTGAGCCAGGAGGATGGGGGTATGATGAACTTGGAATCCTGGGAGACAAGCTGATCATGGAATAAACTGTCCCCATTATGACAGGATATGAATTTTGAGGATGTGGCCATCATCTTTTCCCAGGTGGAGTGGGGACTCCTTGATGAGGCTCAGAGACTTCTGTACTGTGATGTGATGCTGGGAATCTTTTCACTTGTAGCATCTGTAGGTAAGACTCAAATTTCTTTTAGTGCCCTGAGGTAATGTCTTGCCTTCCCTTTTTTCTCCTGAGGTAGTTTTGTCTGCCCTATAGCCAGACCATAGGCTCTCCTAATTTTTCACACTTTCTTGTCATCTGTTCTGTGGCTGCCAGGATTGAGCTGTGTGGTGTGCTCTGAGACATGGACTTCCTGAATATCACTAACACTTGTTGCCTCAAAAAGTGCAGGAAGTGTCTGGAATTCAGGAGATTTGCAGTTATGGCTTCCAGTTCTGCCCCCTTCTCTTAGCTATTGGTTCTTTGTGACTGCCTGTGCCAGGTCATGGTCATTACTCACATGAACTGTGGACTGTACTTGTAAGATCTACCTTCAGGTGTTTCTAATATTGTTTTCCCTGAATACTAATATATGCTGAGTTGCTCTCAGCCACTGCTGGCCGCTTACCTCTGTTGTCTTACATTAATACACGGACCATTCAGGTTCTGAGTAATTGTACAATAGAGGGTGCACAGAGAACCCTGGTTTACTCACGGAGTGGACATGACAAAATGGTCTTAGAGGAGGCCTGGCCCTGGAGAGAGGCAACTGGGAAATGGTATGATGTAAGGGCTGTTTTCTGATCATACCAGGAACCTGTTCATGTCTAATAGTGCTTTGGTGCAGGTGCTACTGGCCACATTTCATTTCAACCTTTTTTTCCATATTGACCCTTTACTCACTTGTTATTTCATCTGTGACTTCCTGCCTCCTGCCTCCTGGCTACCTTCACCTTTGTGGCATCCATGCATCATCTGTTCCACTGCTCTCCTCCGTCTGCATGTTTTCCAACATTGACCTGTGCATATGTTGTGAGGTTTGCATACGTCCTTAAGTAGCTGCAAAACACCAGCTACTCAATTTTACTGTGGAAAAAAGAATACCAACCTTCTGTACAATTTGCCCATGTCACCAGCAGACAAGCCCTGCTTAATGCTGTTAGTAGGTGAATAGTTGCACATCCTGCTTCTCTTCCATGAGGTGCATGCAATCTATGTGTTTTTTCTAGTGAGGTCTTTTCTATTGTGTTATGTTCAGAGGCCCAGAACTACACAGCAGTATTTTCTTCAACCTGACTCCAGGTCCCTTACTTTTAGATAATCCCATGAAACCTGCGTATTATGTCTGATACACCTTTGTAATGGACTAGACCTTTCCACCAATGTCAATATCCTTTTTTTCAGCATTTCTTTGTTTTCAGGTTGTTGGCATAAATCGGAAAATGAGAAGGCCCTTTCTGAGCAGAGTGTATCTGTAGAAGGAGAGTCACAGGTCAGGGCTTCTAAGACAGCTCCAGCAACCCAGAAGACCCTTCTCTGTGAGTGGTGCATCTCTGTCCTGAAAGTTATTTTTTATCTGACTCAGTTCCAAGGAGCATACCTTGAACAGAAATGGTTCTTCAGAGACACACGTGTGAGAGCCTTCTGTTTCAGTGCAAGCCTTCACCAGCAACCTACAGATGTTAGTGGAGAGAAGCCCTGGAAAGGAGATATGGACAGGGCCTCATTTGTGACCCAGTGCATCTTGTACATATCAGGGGCATCTTCCACCTGTAGGGAGGTTTGGGAGGACTTCTCCATCATCTCAGGCCTTCTCCAGCACCAGGCCACTCTTCACAGTGAGGAGCCATACAGTGGCAATGATAGTGAGTAGGCTTCCCACAGTAGAAAAATTCATCAGGAGTGGGATGAATGTGAAAAAGCTGCCGGCAAAAACAAGAAACATGTTCATCATCAGAGTGTCTGCTCTGGAGAAAGGCATTATGAATGTAATAAATGTGGGAAAGTTTTTAGACAAATCTTTAACCTCATTCGGCATAGGAGAGAGCACACTGGAGAAAAGCCTTATAAGTGTAGTAATCCTGTGAAGTACTTCAGCGAAAACTCTGGGCTCATTGAACATCAGAGAGGGAACACTAGAGAAAAGCCATATGAGTGCAATGTTTCTACATCTGTACTCATTAATCACCATCGTTTTCATTCTGGAAAAAAGCTTTATGAGTGTACTGAATGTGGGAAATCTTTTAGCCACAAATCCCTTCTTCTTAATCACCAGAGAGTTCACACTGGAGAAAGACCTTATGAGGGCAGTGGATGTGGAAAATCTAGCCGGAAATCTCACATCCTGAGACATCAGAGAGATGATGTTAGAGAAAAGCCATGTGGGTTGTGTGATTGTGGAAAGTCTTTCAGCCAAAGCTATACCCCCATTAAACACCAAAGAGTTAACACTGGAAAAAGACTTTATGAGGGTAGTGGATGTGGAAAATGTTCTAGCTGCAACTCACACATCCTGAGACATCAGAGAGATGACAGAGAAAGGCCATATGGGTGTCGTGATTGTGGAAAGTCATTCAGCCAAAGCTCAACCCTCATTAAACACCAGAGAGTTCACATGGGAGAAAAGCCATATAAGTGTAGTGTTTGTGGTAAGTCTTTCAGCCAAAGCTGTGCCCTCATTCAACACCATAGAGTTCACACAGGAGAAATGCCATATGAGTGTACTGAATGTGGAAAAACCTTTAGACAACGCTGGCACCTTATTCAACATTGTCGAATTCACTCTGGAGAAAAGCCCTATGTGTGTGGTGAATGTGGGAAATCCTTTAGCGATACCTCTAGCTTCATTCAACACCAGAGAATTCATACTGGAGAAAAGCCGTATAAATGTAGTGATTGTGGAAAGTCCTTCAGCCAAAGCTCTGCTCTCATTCAACACCAGAGAGTTCACACTAGAGAAAAGCCATATGAGTGTAGTGATTGTGGGAAATTTTTTAGACATCCCTCCCACGTTATTCAACACTGTCAAGTACATTCTGGAGAAAAGCCTTATGAGTGTGGTGAATGTGGGAAACCCTTTACCGATAAATCTAACCTTATTCAACACCAGAGAGTTCACACTGGAGAAAAGCCTTATGAGTGTAGTGAATGTGGGAAATGTTTCAGTCGCAAATTTACCCGTATTCTACATCAGAAAATTCACACTGGAGAAAAGCCATATGGGTCTAGTGATTGTGGGAAGTCCTTCAGCAAAAGCTCTGCCCTCATTCAACACAAAAGAGTTCACACTGGAGAAAGACCTTATGAGTGTAATGAATGTGGGAAATCTTTTACTTGTACATCTAACCTCCTTAGACACCAGAGAGTTCACACTTGAGAAAGGCTTTAAATATTTAGGGATTATTTTATTTTCTCACTCAGTATATGAACACTGAAAGAGACTCTTTAAATTCACACATTTATGTGAATTCAAACCTCTTTTACTGGAACATACACTGTGTTAGTTTCTTCATAAGTTTCAGGTACAAACAAGGCTCTAATAAGGAGCTGCATTACACTTTCTAACCTTCCCAGGGCTATTACCAAATTGATGTCACTGCCAGTTTTTGTGCTAAGCCATTTTACCTCTCTCTCGTGGCTCATCTGCACCATGTGGCCCAGTCACAACCCCTGTGTGCTCAGGCATGCTGCCCTCTGTGTTCTTTCTTTTTCTTGGGAAAATTATAAATATTCTGAGTTTTGGGCAGGATTCTCATTCCTTTTCCTGTGACTAGAAAGTGGACTTAACCCAATATTGTTCCAGGGGACCCATCCTGAGCTAGGAAACACTACCTTTTTATGAATATTATTGTTCTCACATTATTATGTGATAAAGTTTTCCAGGTTCACCAACCTGCAAACTGCCCACTATACCCTGTTCTGGTTTATGATATTTTTGTAAAGGTCTTTTTGCTTTTTGCCTTTAATATTATTGGTTATATTCCCTATGCCAGGTGATTTGAAAACAAAATTGTGATCTCTCAACATGTAGAGGTGAACAGATTTTGTGGGGATCCCAAAGTTTGTATATTTCAGAAGGCACAGAATGATGTCAATCACTCTTTGTGCAATACTGGCGTTTTTTGCATTGCTGCCCAAGGCCTTGAAAGAAAGACTGCATGATTTTATGTTCCTAATATGCATCCTGGTGCAATGATAATTGGGGGGGAGGGGTCAGAGGTCTCCCTGAATAGGAGGCATTTGTTGTGCCTCTGTGAACTATGTGAATTATATATTACGTAATTCTAACAATGTTAAGGGGACCTCCTCCCTAGGTTCTACAAAGGAGGTATGTGCCATGATGTATATGCCAAGATTACAAGTTCTCTTACTTGTCAGAAAGCAAAAACTATTTAATTAATGAATCCATAAATAATTGGAACAGCAAATCAATGCTTCTCAAATCAATAAAAAATAAAATATAATTTAGAAAGTTTGATTTAAGTGTAATTGACTTAAGTACTTTTTTTTGTTAATCCTCACCTGAGGATATTTTTTCCATTGATTTTTAGAGAGAGTGAAAGGGAGGGAGGGGGAACGGAGAGAGAGAGGGAAACATGGAAACACATCCATGGGAGAGAGACACATCAATTGGTTGCCTCCTGCATGAGCCTGACTGGGGCCAGGGGTTGAACCTGCAACTCCGGTATGTGCCCTTGACTGGGAATCAAACCCTGGACCCTTCAGTCTGCAGCCAACCCTGAGCAAAACCGGCTCGGGCTGCCCATTTCTTAGGTTGTTTTTTTCCTGTTGAGTTTTATCAGTTTTTAATACATTTTAGATATTAACCTTTTATTAGATATGTTATTGGCAAATATGTTCTTCCATTTAATGGGTTGCCTTTTCATTTTGTTTTCTTTGCTGTACAAAAACTTTTTAATTTGATTACTTCCATTTGTTTATATTTTTTATTTTCTTTGCCTTAGCAGATATATCTGAAAAAATATTGCTACAAGAAATATTCGAGATTTCACTGCCTGTTTTTTTCTAGGATTGTTAGGTTTTGATTCTAAAATGTGAGTCTTTAATCCATTTTGAGTTTATTCTGGTGTATGGTGTAAAAAGGTTGTCTAGTGTAGTATATTCTTCCACATGCCACATGGTACAGGGAAAATCTCTTTTGAAAGACCTCTTTCTAATTATGGCTTGGTCTTTCTGGTGAGTAGCACCCATTCTGAAGTTATTCAGGAACCCACCCAGAGTTGCGTCACTTTCAAAACAAAGACAATAATACTACCCAGAAATTTCCAAAAGATTTAGAAACTCTATTTTAGTAACCAGGGTCAGTACCAATGATTACAACAAAAGATGCTCCAAGTGCTCTTACCAGGAACCTGCTCTGTGTCCAATAGTGTTTTGGTGCTAGTGCCGCTGGCCACACCTCATTTCTTTTTTTGATTTCAGAGAGAGGAAGGGAGAGGGGGAGATTGAGAGAGATAGAAATATCAATGATGAGAATCATTGATCAGCTGCCTCCTCCACGCCCCCTACTGGGCATATGCGCTGACCAGCAATTAAATCTCGATCTGGATCATAGGTCGATGCTCAACTGATGAGCCACGCCGGCTTGGCTGCCCACACCTCGTTTCTGTCTTTCCTATACTTGGCAGTTGGCTAACTTGTCATTTAATCTGACTTCCTGGTCCTTGCCACCTTCACCGTTGTGGTCTCCGTGCATCACCTATTCCTCTGCACTGCTCCTTCTTCAGTGTTCTCCAACATTGACGTGTGCATGTGTTAAGAAGTTTGCATATGCCCTTCAGTAGTCCTCAAACACCAGCTGCTTATTTACTCCATTTTATTGGGAAAAGAACATAACTGGGTTTCTGCACAACTTCCCCTTGTCACCAAGAGACAGCCCTGCTGAGTGCTTTTAGCAGAAGAATGAGCTGGGTACCCTCCTCTCCTGTGTCACATGCCATCTTTGTGTCCTTTTACTGGTGGGATCTCCCCTCTCTTGCGATCTTCAGAGGCCCAGTACTGAGCATCAGCCACTTATTCCACGTGCTTCCATGTCCCTTGTTTTCAGACAATCTCATGAAACCAGTGTGTTAAGTCTGACACACCTCTGTAATGGGACTTGCTGATTCCATTATTGTCAATATCTACTTTCTCAGCATTTCTCTGCTTTTAGGTTGTTGGCATAAAATGCAAGATGAGCAGGCCTCTTGTGAGCAGAGTGTATTTGGAAAACGGGAGTCACAGGTCAGGGCTTCTAAGACATCTCCTGCAACCTTGCAGACCCACCGCTGTGAGCGCTGTGTATTAATCTTGAAAGCTATTTTGCACCTGACTGAGTGCCAAGCAGTATACTTTGAGCAGAAAGGATTCTTTAGTGATGCCTGTGTGAGAGGCTTCTGTTTCAGTGCAAACCCTCACCAGCAACAGGGGGATGCCAGTGGAGAAAAGTCCTGGAAGGGAGATATGGACAGGGCCTTGTTTGCGAACATGTGGAGCTTCTATGTATCAGGTGCACCTTTCACCAGAAGGGAGGTTTGGGAGGACTTTCTAGCCATCTCTCGCCTTCTCCAGTACAAGGCCAGTCCTAACAGTGAGGAGCCACACAGTGGCAGTGTAGGTGGGGAAGCCATTCCCAGTGGAAATTGTCATCACCAGTCAGATAAGTGTGAAAAAGCTGCCTGCCACAATCACAGACTTGTTCAATGTCAGTGTTTCTGCAATGGAGGATGGCTTTATGAGTGCAGCAAATGTGGGAAGGCCTTTAGACAAATCTTTAATCTTCTTCTATATAGGCGATTTCACATGGGAGAAAAGCCATATGAGTGTAGTGATTGTGGGAAGCCCTTTAGCCAAGTTTCTGCTTTGGTTAAACACCAGAGACTTCACACTGGAAAAAAGCCATAAGAGTGTAGTGAATGTGGGAAATCCTTTAGACCATACTGCCAAGTGTTGGACCACCATTGGGTTCATTCTGGAGAAAAGCCTTGTGAATGTGGGAAGTACTTTATACCACTAACCTCATTCAACAACAGAGAATTCACACTAGAGAAAGACCTTATGAATGTAGTGAGTGTGGGAAATCCTTTTGTTGCAAATCTCACCTCTTTAGGTACCAGTGAGTTCACACTGGAGAAATGCCATATGAGTGCAGTGATTGTGGGAAGTCCTTTAGACTTCCTGCCAGCACATGCTGTGGTAAATCTTTGTAAATATTTTTCCTGGAAATAAGTATAATGGTATTTCTTTTGGTTTTAATTTTATTTTCATGAGGTTTCATAATGGTGATCATTTAAAAAATATATTCATAGCCCTGGCCCGATTTGCTAAGTGATTAAAGCGAAACCGGTGGACTGAAGGGTCCCAGGTTTGATTCCAGCCAAGGGCCTGTACCTCAGTTGCAGTCTGGGTCCCCAGCCCTGACTGGGGTGCATGTGGAAGGCAAGCAGTTGATGTCTCTCTCTCACATCAATGTTTCTCTCTCCCCCTGCTTCCACTCTCTCTGAAAAGCAATGGAAAAATCCTCAGATGATTAAAATAAACAAAGAGAGCTTAGAGGAAACTGAACTTTGGTCGAGGAGAATCTCAGATCCATCTTTGCCATCGTGCTCCAGGGTGGTCCAGCATCCTCTCTGTACCTTCCTTGAAATGGCAGAATCCGGAGTATTTTCTCTCTTGTCCCTGACCAAACATACACAGACTGACAAACTGCCCTTATGATGTGGAGTGCATGCATTTGACGTGAAATAACATTAGCTTCTGCTAACTGTGGACATATTTTGAGTCTGAATGACTATGCAATATGTTTATTTGGATTCCTAGCCTTTGGGAGACTCAGAAATAATATTTTT